TCTTCGCATCAGCATTTGGTTCCGCTTGCCTGTCATCCAGCTCCAGCTGCCCCTCCTCCGCGTGGAGCCGAAGGGGCCTGAGACCCAAGCTGGGGGAGAGGAGAGAGGAAGGAAGACTAGGTCTGAGTATCCAGCACTTCCAAGACTTTCCACGTTGCCAAGAACAACCTCTTGGCACACAATTCCTGTAAATTGTCTGCTTGGCCTTCCTCTGCCTGGAATTGCATGCTTGCTTGCTTTTTAATTTTTATTTATTGATTTTTTTAAGAGAAAAAATAGATAGAGAGAAACATTGATGTGTTGTTCCACTTATTGATACATTCATTGGTTGATTTTTGTATGTATGTGCCCTGACCAGGGATCAAACCTGCAACCTTGGTGTATCGGGACTTCATTCTAACCAACTGAGCTACCTGGCCAGGGCCTGTAATTGCTTCCCGAAAGGTCCCCTCTGCTTGATCAGAGCCTGGCCCCAGAAGAGGAAGGACCAGACCCTAGGAAGGAGAGGAGGGGCAGACTCTGACCCCGCCGCTGGGACCCCTGGGCTGCTTCCACTGCCACGTGACCTTGAGCAGATTCTTATCCAAGGCACAGCCCCTTTCTGGGTCTCAGTTTCCACCTCTGTAGAATCTGGGGGATACAAACACCACCTACTTCCCAGGATCACAGTGAGAAGGAAACGCGTACCTGAATTAAAGGGGTTTGTTTGCCTGCACACCTCTAAGCCCAATAAAATGCAAAGAGAAGTTTGCAGCCAAGAAAGTAAAGGTTTACTTTTAAGGAAACGGTGCCATGCCCGGAGTCACAGGTGAGCTTATGCTCAGAGATCTGGCCCCGCAGTGGCTTCTGGGGGATGATTCCTACAGGGGACTGAGCGAGTTAAGGCCATGGCTAGGTTCATGGTCTCTACTGATGGGCTGGAGCCTGGGTAGTAGGGCAGTTGGTCATTGCGTCTGGCCCTGATATCAGCCCTGGTGTCATTGTGCCTGGTTTTGCAAGAACGTGGTCAGTGGGGTGGTCCCTGAGCTGAAGCACAGCTGAAGCGTGGCTCTCTGATTTGACTGAAACTGTTTCTGTGCTCAACAGGCCCCAGGCTTTGTTCCTAAGATGGTTGGATGTGACCAGAACTTCATTGTCCTAAAGGCTTCGTGATTAAGGGAGTGGACATACAAGGAAGGAGGAGGTAGGTGATTTCATGGTGCTGGGTGAGGCCAGCTGGAATCAAAAGGAAAGAAAGGAGAAAATGTGACAACACGTAGCACCTCTGAGACAACACGTAGCTCCAATATGGTCTGAATCACATATGTACTGAGATGTGTGAGGGCCAGCGTCGGAATCTGGGGGACCCTATCTCTCAAAACGTGTGTGGCACCGTGTGCGATGGTGCCACAGCCAGGGAGGCTCTGCCCACTAACAAACAAATTCAAGAGGGGAAGCCTGGCGAGTCACGAGCCGAGGAAGGCAGGGCGTCCCCACTCTGGTTTTGCGCAAGTGTCTGTCAAGTCACCTTCTGATTTTAAGAGTTCAGGGGCGCGGACAGGAGCCAGGTGGCCTCTTTGCCATCCAGGTGATCCTGGATTCAGGCCAGCACCCCCACCTGGCCCTCCCCATCCTGTGCAGCTGGAGAATCTGCAGATTTGCCTAGGGAGAAGATGGGGCGGGCCCAAAGCCGCCTTCCTCCTTCCTGTCGGCAGAATCGCCCCAAAGGCCACGGCCACAGCCTGTACTGGATCTTCTTCAGGGGTGTCCAACCCTCGGCCTGGGGACCACGCGCGGCCCAGGGTGGCTGTGAATGTGGCCCAACACAAAATCGTAAATTTACTTAAAACAGTATGAGACTTTTTTTGTTTTCGTTAGTGTTTGTATATTTAATGTGTGGCCCAAGACAACTCTTCTTCTTCCAGTGTGGCCCAGAGACACCAAAAGATTGGGCACCCCTGTTAGACCCTGCCCGTCCCCACCAAGCTACGTTTACCTCCTTGGCACCCATTTGACACTCCTTGCTCTCTCTGGGCCTCGACTTTCCCTTCTGAAAAATGGGCGGCCTGGACTTCTCCAGCTGCTTCAGCTAAGCGTTCTCAGACGATAGGAATTCGGCCTCCACCTTCCACTCCCTACCCTGGCCAGTGCCTTGCCCCGCCCCCGATCCCTTCTCTCTCCTCTGAGGCACTGGGTGCCCCTTCTAGGCGGTAGGTCAGGGATGGACACTGAGGCTACTGTTTGCTGGGCTCCCAAGTACCAAAAGGGGGAACCCCACGGAAGGCAAGGGCTGGGGCCTTCTGAAGGAGGAAGGGGATGTCCGGCCCCAGGTTAAAAGCTCAGGGCACTGCCAGGCCACGCTTGCCCCTCTCCTGCTGTTGGGATCATCTCCTCCTTCACATCCCAGCAGGCGAGGGGGCTCCCGAGGGCTGGCAGATGCCCAGCCTTTCCTCTCTGTATCCCCAACACCTGGCTGCTGGGACCTATTTCCTGGCTAGACAGAGAAAGGACGGGCAGGGGCCAGGATGGTAACCCTGCCCGTGGCCTGTCCAGCCACATTCAGGACCGAACCTGCAGGTAGAAAGGAACAGGTCCAGACCCACCCTCAGCTCCACGCCTCCCTCCCTTCTCAGCCCCCAGAGCCCTGTGCCCTCTTAGGCCCCGCCCCCTCCCATCCCCATCCTGTCCCCGCTGCTGGCCTCTCCTGGAAAGCCTGTCACCTCCAGCTCTCTCTGGCTCGCTTTGGACTGGGGAAGGGATGGGGCGCAGAGGCTGTGGGTCCTGAGGGGAGAGGAAGGAAGTAGGGTCCGTCTGGCTCACGTTGTTCTAGCTTCAGGGCAGAGTGCCTAAAAAGCACTCAGAACCTTCTCCTGGGGAAACCCACCTAACTGCATCATTCCCAGATGCAACTGCGCTACTGCGAGACCGGCTGTGTCCTTCCACCTTGACTTACATTTCTGAAGACTCTTTTTCACTTGAGTCATGAAAGTGCCAGGTTCCAGTAAGCGCGCGGTGGGAGGGGAGAGGCAGCAGGGTCGGAGAGACACCTGCTGCCCCCATGAGAAAAGAATCCCTCAGTGCAGCTTCTTTGAACCCATATCGGGGTGTCCGCCCTGAAATTCCTCCTCCTCCAGGAAAGCTGCGTGGGCTGTGAGGGCAAGTCCGTGGCATGAAAAACAGTATTAAATGTTTGCCACAGCCTGGGCTTGGTGGTTCAGTTGGTTGGAGCATTATCTCATCACCAAAATGCTGTAGGTTCAATTCCCGGTCAGGGCACATACCTAGGTTGTGGGTTTGATCCCAGGTGAGGGTACGTATGGGGAGGCAAACAATCGATGTTTCCCTCTCACATCGATGTCTCTCTCTGTCTCCCTTTCTCTCTCTCTCTCTGTCCCATCCTCTCTCTCTAAAAGCAATAAACATATCCTCAGGTGAGGATTAAAACAAAAATGTTTGCCACATACATCTCTGGTTCTCCTGCCTCTGCACCTTGAAGCCTGGAGAACCCTCCCGCATACACGTCCAAATGTCCCCACCTGCCATTGCCAGGTGGCAGGGCCATCCATCCTTCCCAGGGAAAATGACTGTTCGCCTAGTAGGACTTCCTCCCCTGGGCCGCCACAAGCGCAGGTGCCAGGAGGAATCACTCAGCCGGGGGATCCGTGGCAGGTCCCAGCCTGGCTCTGCCTCGGTGCCTTTCGAGCCACTGTCAGCCTCCGGGCCTTCTCTTCCACCTGCGGAGCAGATGTAGCATAGGGGCCACGTCGGCCCACCCTCCCTGGGTGACATGCCCCCACTAGCCAGTGAGCAAGATCCCTGACCTGCTCATGGGACACTGAGGGATCAGTATGTTGGTTTGTGAACAAATTCCGAACCGCGGATACTGAGATCTAAAGCCCTTTCAGAATCAAGCCTCTGAGCTCCCAGGCCCTGTAGCTGCCCTTCCTTCTCCTTTCCCGGGCGCAGTGACAAAACCACCTTCCGAGCCACGAGCCAGCCAGCCAGCCCGGCCCCCTCAGCCTGACCCTGGGTGAAATGATCAAAAATGTTGACGATATGTCCACTCGCTTTTTTTTTTTCCTTCAATGTAATTATGTACAATGGAAGCAATAATAATAACTTCAAATACTTATTAAATACCTATTATATGCCAGGCACTGAGCTCTAGGTTTTTACATGAATTATCTCATTTAATCCTGGTGATAATCCATGAGGTAGTTTCCATTATTAGCTCCCACTTTTCAGGCCAGGAAATGAGGCTGAAAGAGGTTAAATTTGCCCAAGGTCACATAGCAAGCCAGTGACAGAATTTGAAAACCTTATAAAATCGGTTTTTATGCATTTATGTTGCAATGTTTTTGCATTCTTGTAGTCCTCTGTCAGGTTTTGTATTTTTGTTTTTTAACTTCATGTCCTAATCTATTTTCAGTCTATGATGCCTCGTTTGTTTGGCACTGTTTCTTGTCTTCCTCTCGAAGACAGTAGAAATATTCTGTGAAATTTGTGAAAACATAGCTAAATAGGTAAAGTGGACATGGATGACTGAGAATGAATTTTTAAAATGAAACAACCTAGGAAGCAGGAAAAAAATTGCTTTCAAAATGCATATGAAAATTGCAAAGTCTCCCCAGGGTGCAAGAATCTTCTCAAGACATAAATTAATGGCTGTAAACATTCATTTCCAACCAACTTCCCTTCAGTTGATTCACTTGAAACCTAGAGAAAAAAAAAGCTTTAAAATTTGTTACAACTTTGTCAGACAAGCTCATAGTTGCTGGAAATTTTTTTAGAAATTAAAAGCCCAGTCTTGGCTGGTGCAGCTCAGTGGGAATGCCAGCCAGCAAACCAAAGGGTCGAGGGTTCAATTCCCAGTCAGGGCACATGCCTGGGTTGCAGGCCAGGTCCCCAGTAGGGGGCGCATGAGAGGCAACCACACATCTATGTCTCTATCTCTCTCTCCCTTCCCCTCTGTCTAAAACAAAAGTAAATAAATAAATAAAAGAAAAAGAAATTAAAAGCCCATATTTTCCTGGCAGGGGAGACACTTTGATCCCGAAGGTGGTTTTCCCCGGGCGAGGCTCACCCATTGCGCTCCGGATGTGCTAAGCCCTATGATTTTCCCAAATGTGGGAAACACAACTGCATAATTTGCAGCAGTGGGTGACTGCGTTCGCGCTCTCCCCTCATTTGGGGGTTTTAAACATTAAACTGTGAGTTTTTCTTTTGTGCTGAGTACAAGCACTAACCTTCCCACCAGCTGACTCTTCTGTGTAGTTTCTTTTTCTTTCAGCTTTGGGGGGGGGCAGCCTAAGAATTTCTATCCAAGAACCCACGCTTGTTCTTGAAACACATCTTAAAACTCATTCTTTCTTCAATTCTAACAATCCTACCTATTAAAAAAAAGAAAGAAAGAAATTAAAAGCCCAGAAATCCAGAAGTGGACATGAAGAACAAAGAGATGCTTATAAAAGCTAAAATTTTTGAAGTTTCAAGGCCACCCTACAGTATATAAAAATAACATTCGAATTAACAGGGGTCAGAATTACTGTTTCAACCAACTTTTGTTGATGTCAGCCTTATTGACACATAATGGAATACAATAAAATGTACAGATTTTTAACCACAGAGTTTAAGTTCTGACAAATATATACCCATATAACAAATATACAATCAAAATATCTATTGACATTGATAAGAGACCAAGCATTTCCATCACCCCAAAAAGTTCCTTTGTACCTCTTTGTAATCAATCCGCTCCCCCCACCAAGTCAACCAATGACCAGCCCTCTATAATCAGAACCCGTTCTAGAATTTCACATCAATGGAGTCATGCAATATGTACCCTTTCGTGTCTGTCTTCTTTCACTCATTAAGATGTTTTTGAAAGTCTTCTATTTTGTTATTTGAACAAAGCAGTTCTTTCATTTTTATTGAGTAGTCTTCCATTGCATGAAAATATCACACCATGTTTATTCATTCACCTCTTGATAGACATTTGGATTGTCCCCAGTTTTTCACTAGTATGGATATGTCTCTGAATATTTTTGTCGAAGTCTTAGTTTGAATCCCTAACAATGAGATTGCTAGGTCATGTGGGAAATGTATGTTTCACTTTGTAAGAAACTGCCAAACTATTTTACAAAGTGACTCCACTATTTCACTTTCCCCCAGGAGTGTATGAGAATTCCAGTTACTCCCCATGCTGGAAAACATTTTATCGTGGCAGCTTTTCACATTTTTTTTTTAATTCTAGGAGGTAAGATATTGTATCTCGTTGTTCAACCAAATTGTTTTTTGTCCAACAGTCGGCTTGCCTCTCAACACCAATTCTACAATAATAGTTGGAGAGCGGACTTCACTATCCCACTATCAATAATAGATAGAGCAACTAGATAGAAGGTCAGTACGGAAATAGAGGAGTCAACACTATATATACCAGGTCCATATAACCGACTTGTATAGAACACTCCACCCCAAAGACTGCAGAAATTAAAACATGTTCACACTGAAATTTGAACATTCATTGAGCATCATTTAAAAAAGCATAAACAACACATTGTCTGTTAACTGATTAATGGATAAATGAAATAGTATAGCCAAACACTGGAATATTATTCAGCCTGTGATGGTTAACTTTATGTCAACTTGGCTGGCACCAGGTACCCAAGTTAAACATTATTTCTGGGCACGTGTGTGAGGGTATTTCCAGATGAGATTAGCGTTAGAACCCGTGGACTCCGGAATGTGAATTTGCCTCCCCCAGGTTCCCAGGACCCCTTCAATCCTTTGAAGGGCTGAAGAGAACAGCAGGTGGAGGAAGGAGGAATCCTGTGCCCTCACCGCTTTGTCCTGCGTAACTGCTGGAGCGGAGACACCTCAGTCTTCTCCGGCCCACAGGCTGGGATGTACCCCGTCAGCTCCTCTGATTCTCAGGACTTCAGACTCGGGCTGAATCACACCAGCAGCAGCCTTCATAATCACATGAGCCAATTTAGCGTAATAAATCTCCCTTCATGTGGATACACAAGTGTAGATAGGTGAAGAGCTATAGATATCTCCCACGGTCTCTGTTTTCCTGGAGAACTCTAATACACAGCCATTGAAAAGAAATTAAATACTGATACATGCTACAAAATGAGTGAATCTTAACACATCATGTTCAGTTTAAAAAACCAATCACAAAATCCGCATATATGACTCCATGTATGTGAAACGTCCAGAATAGGCAGAAGAAGGCAGAATAACAGAAGGAGGTAGGTTACTGCTCGCCTAGGACTGAGGGGTTGGGGAAAATGGGAAGCGACCATTTAGGGATATGAGGGGCTATTGCTGAAGTGATGAAAATGTTCTAACATGATTTTAATTGCACGACTCTGTGAATATATGAAAAACCATTGGATTGTATACTCTAAGTGGGTAAAGGTATACTTTAAGTGGGTGATTTATATCTTGATAAAGCTGTTGTAAATAGCTATTAGAGCTTATAAGTGAGTTAAGCAAGGTTGTGGAATATATGATCAATATACAAAAATCAATTGTATTCTATATACAGAAGAAACAAATGGATAGTAAGATTTTTAAGTACCACTTACAAGAGCAACAGACATCCTGAAAAAATTAGGGATGAACGTAACAAAATATATGCAAGGTTTGTATGCTAAAAACTACAAAACATTGATAAGACAAAGACCAAAATAAATGGAGAGGTGAGGTGCATGGATCAAAAGACTTAAAATTGTTAAGATGTCAGTTCTCCCCAAATTGACCTATATATTGAATGCAACTTCAATAAAACCCTGGAGAGGATTTTTGTACAAATTGGCAGGCTGATTCTAAAATATATACGGAAAAACAAAGGACAGAAGCCAGTCAAACATTGTTTAAAAAGAAGGCAAAGTTGGAGGACACACAGTATCTGATTTTAAGACTTAATATAAGCTACAGAAATAAAAAGGATATAGTACTGGTGAAAGAATAAATATACAGATCAATGGAGCAGTGTAGAGTTCAGAAATATGTGGTCAATTGGTTTTCAACAAAGGCACTAAGGTCATTCAAAGGAGAAAAAATATTATTTTCAACAAATGATGCTAGAACTTTTCAACATACCTATGTCTAAAAAAAAACCTAGACTCATACCTGTTGCTATATACAGAATTAACTCAAAATGGACCATAGATCTAAATGGAAAACTGTAAACCCTAAAACTTCTAGATGAAAACATAGGAGAAAATGTGTGATTTGGGTGAACCAAAGGTTTTTAAAATATGATCCAAAAGCATACATCATAAAAGAACAAATAATAAACTGGACTATCCAAATTTAAAACATGTGTACTTCCACAGATGCTGATAAGAGAGTGTAAACACAAGCCAAAGGCTGGGAGAAAATATTTGTTATGCATATTTCTCATAAAGGATTTTTATCCAAATATATAATGAAATATATATATCGTCATAACTTGACAATAAAAAACAAACATGAGAACAGACACTTCACCAGAGGAGAAATATGAATGGCACTTAGGCAAATAAAAAGATGATATCATTACCCATTAGAATAATGCAAATTAAAACCACAATAACAGATCACTCCACATTTATTAGAATGAATAAAAATTTTAAACCGACCATACCAAGTACTGGTAAGGACACAGAACAGGAGGAACTGGTGAGTACAACCATGTTGGAAAGCAACCTGTTAGTCCCTTAAAAGTTAAGCACACAGCCCACGATGGGTGTGGCTCACTTGGTTGAGCGTTGTCCCACACCGCGAAAGGTCACCAGGTTCGGTTCCTGGTCAGGGCACATGCCTGTGTTGCAGGTTCGGTCCCAGTCAGGCGACCGATCAATATTTCTGTCTCAAATTTATGTTTCTTTCCCTCTCTTTCTCCCCCCCCTTCCCCTCTCTCTAAAAATAAATAAATAAAATATTTAAATAAGGAAGTTAAATATACACACTTGCCATAAGACCTAACAATCCCACTGCTAGGCATTTAGGCAAAGGAAATAAAATGTCCAACTCAGACTTTTACATAAATGTTTACAGCAGCTTTGTTCAGAGTCCTGGCAAACTGGACACAGCCAGAAGCCCCCCACCTGGCGACGGGATAAACAAATGCTGGTGCCCACTGAAGGGGTCAAACTGACTGACACATGCAACAGGGAGGGATCCTCAAGGCGTTATGCTAAGTCAGACACAAAGGCTATACCCCGTGGGATTCCACTTACATGGAACTCTAGAAAAGCCAAAACTATAGGCACAGAAATCAGTTCACTGGTGACCATAGGGAGGTTGAGGGGTGATAGGGCTGTTCTCTCTTAAGTAGAGTGGTGGTTATCCAAATGTATACAGTTGTCAAAATTCACAGAGTAGGACACCCCAAAACAACAGGTTTTTCTGTATGTAAGGTACACCTTAATAAACCTAACTTTAAAGAAATGTAACATTATGTGCAGGAATTCTGCTTTCTCTGTGCTGTTGGCACTTACACTGCTCCCTCGGTTATGGCTGCACACTTGCCACATTAAGTAGTCTCTCAACGGAGGTTAGTGAGAAAAGCAAAGTATCTGTAAAAGAGAGGGATACCTCTTGATTATTAACTGCCTTTCTTTTTCCTTCATACTTTTTATATTCTTTATCATGGGTTAATTTATCATGGGTTTTGCTATACCTGATATCAGAATTTTTCTTCCTGGTAAAATTGTGAGGTGGCAGAACAGACATTTTGCTTTTAATTGGTCCCACAAGATAGGAATAATTCCCAAATAAATATTTTCACGAAAGATTAATAGTCTAGCCCTGACTAGTGTGGCTCAGCGAGTTGGGCATCAACCTGCTAAGAGCAAGGTCTCAAGTTTGGTTCCCAGTCAGGGCACACGCCTGGGCTGTGGGCCAGGCCCCCGGTTGCAGGGGTGTGACAGGCCACTGAGAGAGATCGATAGATGGTTGTTTCCCTCCATCTCGTCTCCCTCCCTGAGAGAAACATTGGTCTGGCTGGGTAGCTCAGTGGATTAGAGAGTCGTCAGTGGATTAGAGCATCATCCTGATGTGCCAAAGTTGTGGGTTCAATCCCCAGTCAGGGCTCATATAAGACTCAACCAATGAGTCACGAATAAGTGCAGCAACAAATCAATGTTTCTCTCTCTCTCACTCCCTTCCCCTCTCTAAAATCAATTTAATTTT